TAACGAGATGGATTGGCAAAGTGGCAGCCATCAATGGGCTCAAGCGTGGCAACAATTATGAGGTTGATCCAGGACCGGGCAGTGTTTTGTTCTGTTGTGCATAAGGTCGCTATGAGTCAATGCCGACTTGATGGCACCTCACAACAACAACAACACAGAATGACAAACTTGAGTGCAACCTGAATCCCAACACTAGACTCCCACTAATGTATATGAATGACTGTCTGAGAGCCACCTTGGAAGTCCTGGAGGGCCCAGCAAAGCCTCTCTCCATGAGCACCTACAACATTAATGCCATGAGTTTCATCCCCAAGTAGCTGGCCCAAGAGCTTTTCAACCATGTTACAGAATTCCAGACCACATACAACACTGATCCTGTCCAACAGGCCACAGTAGATAGTTGGCCAATAAACTCTGATGGCAGCAATGCTCGGAACGACTGGGCATGGAAACATGATTTTGATCTTCCAGAGTTGGTGACGATGATGAACCTCCATGGTTCTAACACTAGGGTTAACCCATGCTAACTGAAGGTATCAAAAGACAGAGTGACTGTACCCTGGGCAGCTGTCAGGGAGAAACTATAAAGTTAATTATGTTGTAAACTCCAAGCAACTACAATTATTTGGACTTGAAGGACTACTTGGACTAAACCTTGGCAGTTCATATTGAACTGCTAAATTGAGAATAAAGTTGGTATTAAGCATTTTAAAAATGCTTTAGGTTTGGTTGTTGGTGGTGTTGTTAAGTGCTATTCAGTTGGTTCCAACCCATAGTGACCCTGTTCAGGGTTTCTGAGGAGTGGCTGGTGAGCTTGAACCACAGACCTTTCAGTTCAAACAGATTTGACAGTCTAGCGTATTAACCCACAGCACCACACTAGGACTGCAGGTTTGGTGATAGGGCTTTGAAATTATTGCTGTTTGCCTATATTTGCCCAAATACGTATATAACAAAATGAAGGCAATAGTTTCCATTTCCTTAATTAAGATGAAGTTAGTATTTTGGGGAAAGTTAAAGTATGTGATGTTTATATTTAACTAAACAAAATGAAGGCAATAGTTTCCATTTCCTTAATTAAGATGAAGTTAGTATTTTGGGGAAAGTTAAAGTATGTGATGTTTATATTTAACTAAACGTATGAAGACTCCAATTATTCTCTTGGCAAGAGACCATTTGAAAAACTTTCAAAGATAATCTTGTAATTGAAACAGACTCTTTACTATTCTATCAGAACATACAAAATGCTTGATATATTAGCCCATGTTTATAATGTTTAAAAGATTTTAACACTTATTTCAAGAATAACTGTTGTTGTTGTTATGTGCCGTGGAGTCGGTTCCAACTCATAGTGACACTATACAGGATTTCCAAGGCTGTAAATCTTTACAGGAGCAGAATGCCTCATCTTTCTCCCACGGAACAGCTGGTAGTTTCGAACTGCTGACCTTGCGGTTCGCAACCCGATTCGTAACCACTGCGCTACCAGAGCTCCAGAAGGATTACTTCTTACTTATTCTTCTGTAAGGAAATCTATAGCAAATTGAAACTATTTTCAAGGATGATCTTATTAGTTGTTGTTAGGTGCCGTCGAGCCGGTTCCAACTCATAACAACCCTGTATAGGGTTTCCAAGGAGCAGCTAGTGAGCTTGAACTGCCGACCTTGTCATGCAAACCAACTTTGCAATCTGACTCATTAACCCACACCACCACATTAAGACTCCAGGAAGGGGTAATGCTGCTGTTAGCTTTATTGCTTTCCTTTTAATGAGATCAACGGTAACTTCACACCACGCTACCGGGGGCTGACATACCATGTGTGTCAGTGTACAACTGTGTCCCATAGGGTTTTCAATAGATCACCATGCCTTTCTTCCAAGGCATCGCTGGGTAAACTCTAGCCTTCCACCTTTCCATTAGCAAACGCACCTGTTAACCATTTGCCCCACACAGGGGTTACTAAGTGTGAGCTAGGAACCGAGTCATTCCCTTCACTGTGTTTCTGGGCGCCACTGCTTCAAAACTAATTCAAGAAATAAAGGATGGGAGTCTCTTAAGTGCCACAGATTATTCTAATCTAGTTAGAATTTGCTAGTTTAGACAAATTTCAAGGAGCTCTGGTAGCGTAGTGGTTACGAATTGTGCTGCTAACCTCAAGGTTGGCAATTCAAAACTACCATCTTTCTCCACGAGAGAAAGATGAGGCTTTCTGCTCCCGTAAAGATTTACAGCCTTGGAAACCCCGTACAAGGTCTCTATGAGTGGGCACCAACTCCGTGGCACAGAACCACCAGCACTACCACCGCCACCAGACCAATTTCAGACACTGCTTCCCGAAATGTACTTTCTTGTTACAGTCTTTTTAATTACTCTTAGATTGAGCCTTCAGAAGGCTAAGCTCTGATGGAATTACTGTATAAATATATGGAGCTATTTCCCAGCGGTAACCGCAGTATGTGTACATGCAATAGCACTAGAAAGTGAACTTTTCAGTTCTATAGATTCATCATAATATGTTTGCATCTATCAAGGATCCTAAAACATTTATATTATGTACCTAATGAAAATAAAATGGTATGTATTGGGAATTTTTTAAATGCTAAATCAAAATATGATTTTTTTTGAAGATATGTTGTTATTGTTAAGTGCCATCGAGTCAATTCCGACCCACAGTGACCCTGTATAGGGTTTCCAAGGAGTCAGCTGGTGGGCTTGAACCACCAACTTTGCAGTTCAAACAACTTTGCAGTCTGATGTATTAGCCCACAGTGTCAAGTGGGTTTAAAATCCGTTAATTGTAGACCTTTCAGATAACTGAATTTTTTGCCTGATAGTTGCATTAATATAGGGTGTTTCTTGCCTATTTAATATAATTAAATTTGGATTTGAACCTTTATTTTCTGAAATCAAATAACAGTAATGAGAGTTTTGGGGGGTTTTTTTGTTTTGTTTTTTACAGCTTTACTGAGATATATTTCATATATAGCATAAAATTCATCCATTTACAACTGCTGTTAAGAAGCTGAATTGGCAAAAGTATGTGATCTATTCCCAGCAACAACAAAAGAGTTGCTGCTGAGACAGACTATATACAACCAACCAATCACCTCATGCTCTGGATTCTTGCTTTGGAGGTTTAGGGGCATGGTTTCATGGGACATACCTGTTAGTTGACCTAATATTTATAGTGGTTTTGTTCTACCTCCTTGTTCATTGTGTAGTACCTGGGTGGGGTCTTAAAAGTTTGCAAGCAGCCAGCCAAGGTCCCAATGGTTTCTATTTGCTTGGAGCAACAGAGGAAGGAGGAGAGTCAGGAACAAAAAGAGGAAATGGGATGCGGGGCTAAGTGCCTCCATGAACAACTGCCTCCTTTGCCATGAGACCAGCAGACTGCATGGGGCCTGGCTACTGAACGTTTTGATCAAACACCCTTTAAAAGAATCTTGATCACAAGAAAAAAAATGCCAAACAGTTTCAAATTCTCATGGAATCTAGATTTTCTGGAGCCAAACGATTGCCCTGAGATATTCTTTAAACCTTAAGCCAAAAACACCCACTGAAGTCTTCTTAAAACAAAGAATAGTTTAGCTTAACTAGTGAAGACTGTTATGTCTTAAGTATTGTCATCTTAAGAACTATATGGTATCAAAACAGCAGAGCTTGAAAGATGAGACAGGGAACTTAGGGGGCAGTGAATTTATGTTACTGGGGGTGAGTGGTTGGTACAACTTGGAGAATGTCATCAATGTCACTGACTTGTATGGACAGAAATTGTTGGGATTGGTATATGCTCTGCTGTGTATATTCTCAACAAAAAATAAAACCATAAAAAGTCAAAAAAAAGGGACAAAATATGCAACCTCTTTGAAAGAAGACCCTTTGTGTTTAAATCATTGCTTGCTGATCCCTGAAGCACATTATGTGGAACAGACAGTGGCTAGAACGAAAATGGGGAGCAGGGGTAAAGGAAGTCAGTTAAAGAATTTTATCATTTTCTAGACTGTCTGTATCACTAAGTAAGGCGGTTCCGTAGTTTCTGACAAAAAGTCAGTATATTAACCAGTTAAAGTGCTTAATGTCTTCAGAAAACAGCACTATTTTTTAAACCTAAGCAGCTACACCATTCAAGATGAGTTTACCATTTGGGAAACTAGTTTCCTTCTCTCCTGAGAGGATTAAGACCAAGAAGAAAACAAAAAATAAAAACAATCTAAAACGAATGTGTATCGGGATTGGATCAGTCCCTTTCTTACCTGGCTCACGGTGCCTATCTTGGATCTCAGCCAGACGGGATTTAACTGACGGATGTCACAACCATCAAGACTGATATGTCCTTGTAGAAGGGAAAGCAAAAGGTCATTAAGCTGCATAGGACTCATAAAAACAGACAGGTAGGATTTGGTGGGAAAACTCCAGACTCAATTTTTTAACGATTAAAAGTAAACTCAAAATCTCTAAATAGAGTCTAAAAATAACTCATGAGACTTTAGAACAAAAAGGGACTTCTCTAAATCTAACACCTCCCTGAAGTGGTTAAATGAGTACCCTGCTTGGTTCATCCATCCTGCTCTTCTCCCTATACTGCCGAGGTAGCAGGGCACTTTCAGATTCCTCTAGCACGCTGTTACGGCCCAGAACAGAATTCTGTAGGAGTGGGGCAAGTTGTGATGTCTGTGTTTCTTGGCAGAGGTGGTACAGTGCTGAAAGGGCACCTGTGCCAGCAGGCGCCTCATTTTGCATGAAGTATAGAATTCAGCAATGTTTTGTTTGTTCGTTTTTTTAACTTGAGTTTTTACAGCAAGTAGACATAAATCACGACAATGATTCCAGAGGCAACCAGCAGTGTAAACCCCATTCTAACACAGCTGGTGAATTTATGGGTCAAATTATTACCCACAGATAAGCAGCTCTTGAGCTATTTGAAGCCAAAGCATATAACACATTCTTTTTAAGTTCATGATTAGATTTTTAATAGCAGTTGTTTGCTTCCTAAGAAGCCATACAGTTTTCTCCATCTAAAATCAAACTAAAACATACAGAAGATATATTTCATGAACAGTCCTTTGAGCAGGCTATCAAGAAATAAAATAATATGCCCTTTGCTCTTAAAGATGTTATAATCCACTTTAAACACACACACACATACACACACACACACACACAGAGAAGAGAAATCCATGAAGAAGACCCTCATTAGCTGGAAATGGTTTCAGTGGAGCAGTCAGTTACAGAGCGGCAATTCAAGTTGTCATAATAATCACCAAAGTTCCAAGGTAAAGCAGTCACTTCTGGCCACACTAGGCGTCAAAGAAAAGAACCTGAGCTGGCACTTCTCCAGTCTCTGCCAAGGACAATGGCCAGCCCCTGGGTCCCTCAATAGGGTGGCTGATGGACAGTGCAAATCCAGCAGCATGCACGGTGCCTGCTTTTGGCTGCAGACCACAGCGCTCCCGCCCGGCTGCCAGTAGGGGAGAGAGATTCTCTGAACTTCAAAAGGTGTGCCATCCAGTCAGTTCCAACTCACAGAGATCCCGCAAAGGATTTTTGAGGAGTGGCCGGTGGGTTTGAACCAATGATCTTGCAATCCAGTGCTCATTCTTTAGTACCACACCAGAACCCTATACAAACAAAATGCCTAACAAACCTTCTATATTAGCTTTGGGACACCTTTTGTTTCAGGGATTTCTTTGCTGGTAATAAACCCTCTGGCATTTAGAACTGAAAGTCCTTGCCTACCATATAATC